ACACTGTTCCAGAACAGTTTAACCCAAATATCCAGATGTGTGCAGCTCACGTAAGTACGTTTTCATTTAAAGGATTTGCCACTGACGATTCAAACGCGAGCAGTGTAGAGTAGCACTTGTTGTTTGTCATTTCTCCGATCCCAAATGCAGACAGAGTTTTATGTTTACGTGGCGCGATGCAACGCAACGCGTAAAAAGGCAGTATAAGTCATTATAATCAGTAATTATGTCCCCACTGGACGCAACGAATGCCTGGTTTATAATGGGTTTTAATGTGTTTGTCTCGTCGCTCCGGCCGGACGGCATCATCACAGTATGGTGAGGGGCGTAACATTTCCGTCTCACGCTTGAGGTATTCGGCCAATCACAACGCACTGGATAGCTGGCCAATCACAGCACACCTCGCTTTTCAGACCGATGAGCTTTGTAACAATCGATGCGTTTCAGAAAGGCGGAGCATAGAGGAGAAACAATAATGTACAGTATGTGGAAAATAATGTTTTTTGAACCTTAAACCGCATAAACATTTCATTACACCAAATACACAAAATAATGCTCTTTTTAGCAACATCATATGACCCCTTTAAATGAAATATTCAAATCAAACACTACCCTTTCCTCATCCAGCTGTACTCTGCAGATGTCTGTCAGTGTTTGTGGACCAGTAACCGCAGGATAATTCTGCTCTTAAAACATCTGGATCGTCATCATATGGATCTGACGGGGAAACAACACGTCTTAAGAAAATCCTTTTTTCCCCATTAAAATCGCCAATGTTAGTTTTGTCATAGAGGCAGTTCTAAGCCCCTGATGAACTTACAGTTTCTTTTTAGTGTGAAAACATCTTGCTGTAAGTCATTAAATGTATTCAAGTGTAATAGGAATGTGTGGAAATTTTAATCTATGTGGCAGCCGCTACAGATTGTCCAGGAACAACAATAAACTTCTTTACTCTTCCCATTTGAATCGTTCTTCAGTAAGAGTGTGGTTCTATACATCAACAATAATAACAATATACACTTGCAAGACAACAAGAAAACAGTAGTTGAATGATATAACGTAACAATGCAACAGCATAGAGATAAGGACCTAGTTATATAAATTTGCTCAAGTTTATATACATATTCACTTTAAATCAGCTAGAGTTAAATATTTCCTCATAATATTCAAACTGTTGCTTTTAAAGTTTCATTCAGCGCGTTTAATGCTGGAATGAATGTACAATTGAGATTATGTGCACATTAAGTACTTTAAAGGAATAGGCAAACATTTAGTATTGACATATTACATTACAGTAATACAATATTCCGTTAATAAGCTCTTATTAATTAAACAGAGCTCTTCATAAGCTCTGCACAATGAATCTCTTATTTACATTGCTATAATGAGAGGATTCCCGAGCGTGCAGAACTCAGCACATGACAAAAACACAGCATTTTGAGAGGTTAGTGGATTCTAGCTTAGTTTTTTTTCAATTGCTTACACACATTTTCAAAACTTTGCCTCTTTTTTTTTTTTTTCAAAACTTTACACACACATCCAAGAATTGCACACACAAAATGCAAAATGCCTCACATCTCTTGCAAAATGAAGCACTCAAAATATCACAAACACATCTCAAAAGAAAATATTTGTCTTACGTTGCAAACACCTTTGCCATAATATTATATTTTTGGATACATCATATACGCACAGTTACTCTTAGGGGTGAGAACCAGAAGGGCATAAGTGACATTTTGGGCGAAATGGAGATATATATATCAAATGAAAGCTCTTGATGGGCTCTTTCTACTTCCAAAAGGACACAAGTGAATTATTTTAAATTTTGGATTTATTCATTAGAAACCAAAATACTTAACACTGAACATACTAAACCAGTTGGTGCCAGTTTTGGCCCTCCTGTAAAGTTGGTAAAATGTCACTTACGCCCTTCTGGTTCTCACCCCTCGTTATGTACATTTGTGCACAAGATTGGAAGTAATTAGCAGAAAGAATCACTCAAAAAACACGAAAGCAAGATTAAAACCAAACTTCTTTTTTTTTACTGTAAGCATTTGTGTTTGTGAATACAGTATCACACAGTACAAAAGTAAAGAAGTACATCAGCCATGTGTAGTTGTGTATTTATAGGCCTGTTCTTAAGCATGATTGGTTGGTGTTCAGTAAAACAATGAGTGTTTGCACGTGGCTGTGGTTGAAAAAGGAAATCAAGATTCTTCCTGTTAGATTGGTGTGTGGTTCTGCTGTTTGAGTGTCAGGTTTCAGAAACTGTGTGACAAGTAAAGATTTTGTGTGTAAGCAGTTGAAAAAAAAAAAAAAACTGTAAACACTTCTTGTAATTGCTATCAAGAAATCAACAGATATTCTGTGATTGGCTCCATTGATCAACACTGCAAATATGTTTTGCCAATGTCAGATGGGGCCCCCTGATTCCCCGGGGCCCTAAGCACCTAAATGTTACGTCTGCTCCCGCACACAAGAGTAGTGTTTTACATTTTTTCACATCTGTGTGTCGTTTGGTGTGTATTTGGCTAATTATTTTATATTTGTGTGTAGAGTTACTATGCAAAAATACCATAAATAAAATAGTTTTGAAAGAAGTGTTTGCTTTTCCAAGATGTGTGTGACATTTTGCATGTTGTGTGTGTGTTTTGTGCTTTTGTGTGTTGAGTTCTTTTAGAAAGACTCGGAGAGAAGGTAAACATCGACATGGTATTTATTCCGTGAAGTGTTAACAGATGGTGGTGAGTTACAATAATTCATGTATATTTGCATAGAAAGTTCTTTGGCGTAGGCCCCGTCCTTTGTCCAAATCCTGATTTGGCTGATCCTGTCTGAAAAACAATATAAATACTTATAACTGATGAAGTGCTGAAGCAGCCCGGAGAGTCTTCAATGAAAGAGGGTGAGAGTTCAGGTGAAACTCGTAGATGAGGGAACAACAAACGTGAGCAAGCGAGACGCTTTTGAGATTTAATCGTAAGATATAGCTCTCCAATAGCAAAAGGAACGCACAATATAATTTGTGATTGAGCCCCGCTAGTGTTTCACATTTACTGTTGTGAAAATATTAACACTTTTAATTCATAGTAAGGTGATCAAACAACCACAAACGTTTACTGTGATATTAGTTTGTTGCACAATATTAATAATATAGCATGCATCGTGAAATGAGTGTCATTTACATAATCGTTCACAAAAGATTAATTTTAAGTAATTTTATGAAAAGTCTTGCTAAAGTTTTAAAGCGGCGGTTTCGCTGACTGAGCGGGGAACGCCAGCGTCATCAATTGCGAAGATGAAAGTCTTATATACTCCAGTTATTAAGCAGTGATTGGCCAGATCTGTTAGTATGAATGAATGACGTGGCTTTGGAGTCCTGACGGAACTTGCGCTGAAGGCTTTCATTTTTGAGAAATGGAGCCATAGTTTCAAAAACTGTGTGTAAGCATTTTTAAATCACTGTAATATCAAAGATAAAATTCTCAATAGATGAATAGCACAATTATATTATAATATATCCGCACGGAAATTATTTAAATGCAAAAGCCGAAAGACTCTTCACCTTTTTCTGTTGCTTGTTTTACATACTGCGCGTAGACAGAGGCGTCACCAGGTTTTTGCGTAGTTTAGAGTGACAGATCGTACCAGCGTACTTTGAGGTCAAAATGCGTACAGGTTGGCAGGTCTGCAATATTGTCCGTTCACGACCATCACTAAATTTCAAAGATGCTGAAACTGCTATTCATGCTTTTATAACGTTGCTTATTATATGGCCTACCAAACAAAACTCTTAATCGCTTACAGCTAATCCAGAATTCAGCTGCTTGTGTATTTCAGCTCCTAAGCTCGAGAACAAACTTCTTCAAAACCTTCGTGCTGTCTCTTCACTCCAGACCTTTAAAACTGATCTCAAACTCACTTATTTACAATACGTTTTGTTAATTGATTGTCTGCCTCATTTTTCAATTCCATGCTTGCTTGCATTACTTATCTGGAATGTAAGATTATCTCTGTCTGCATATTTTTATTTGTTTTTGATAGGTGCTATGTAAATAAAACATTATTATTATTATTATTACTACTACTACATCTTAAAGAGCAGCATGAAGAGGAAAAGTGTGTAAAATTTTAACTGCAGTCTCAAGATGCAACTGACAGCTGAGATTCTTGAGACACATACACAGACAGAAGATAGGGTAAGCTTATGTAATTGTATAATCTTGTGAATTTTTAGTTTATATATTGATGGTGGTGGGGAGGATGGAGGGGAACATCATGCATCATAAACGGCAATCATAAAAGAGAAAAGTCAGTACTTATATACTCCAAGTGTCAAGCTGTGATTGGCCAGAGCTAATAATTATGCATGAATGACAATAGTCTTCCTGGTACCACCTTTGCTGACACTTTCATTTCTGATGAATAAAACACTCATCTGTATCTTGGGTGGTTTGAGGGTGAGTACATTTTCAGCAATTTTTTGGGTGAACAATTCTTTTAAATGTATTATTTCTACACATCAATAAAAGGACATCTTAGAGATGCACATAGAAAACACAAACAACCATTTTCTCAATATATGCTAATTTACCTAACAGCCCTTTTTGAGGATTTTTGAATACAAAAAAAAAAAGTTGCCCTTGTGTCCCTTTGCTTCACTTTATGTGATTTTCTCTTTCCTTTTTTCACTGAAATCTATACCTATTCCTTTGGTGGTCTAAAGTTCAGCAAGAGATAATAATAATTTAGTGCAAAAAAAAACAACAAAAAAAACAATGATATATATATATATATAGCATCATTGTTTTTCTAAGAATTATTATTATTAGGGCCCGAGCCCTATTGATTTCCTTAGGATTATTAGGGTCCAAGCCCCGAAGGGAGTGAAAGGACCTATTGACCTATTGTTTTTATTTATTTATATCAAGGTTTTTGGGGCCCTTAGCATGCTCAAAAACCCATGAAAATTGGCACACACTCACACACTTTGGCGTGGCAGAGGGCCTCTACAGTGTAGATGTGTAAAATACAGCATTTTTGCATGTATACATATGAAACTTGGTACACATATAGATCTCATCGAGCCAAACAACTTTCGCACTTGATTGTCATAGGCTCTGCCCAACAGGAAGTTGGCTATTCAGGGTTTTGTGAAAAACACATGCTCTGGAATTTGATATACTCATCCTAGGTTTTTTATCCGATTGCCACCAAACTCGGTCAACATGTCCTCAAGACATTGGGGATGCAACATTGTGAGGGGGTGTTTGATATCTCCAACGGTTTGTCCGTGGCGAGGCGTTGAAATTATGACGAGAAATGAGAAACAGGTCTGTCTGATTTTGCTCAAATTTCAGCAGTTTATTCGTTCAAGGAGTCAGATCACATAGATGTGACTATAATGAGTTTCAGTCATAGCGCCACCAATTGGCAGCAGGAAGTATTACTTTTTTTAAAAAGCTTTGAATGCACCCTCTTATATTTACCCGATTTGCTTCAAACTTCATCAGACTAATGTAAAAATATGGCCGATGTAAATCTGTGATGGCATTATTGATATTTTAAATATTGTTGCCATGGCAATGTGTCAAACTTTAATATTCTTTTCTGGTGTTTTTAAAGCCCTTAACATGCTTAGAATTTCATGAAACTCAACACACACATCAGCATTAATGATAGATAGACACTGGCAAAAGCTCATAAATAGGTGTGGAGGAGGCACTCTATAGCGCCACCTTTTGAAAAAGTGGGGAGGGGGGTTCGTTTTCCCTACAGCTACCAAACTCTGTATATATGTTGTTCTCATAAAGCCGGACAACTTTCTAATAAACAGTCATTAACTACGACCAACAGGAAGTCGGCTATTTTTATTTGAATGTGTGTTTTTAAAAAAAATGTGTTTGTTGAGTGTGGGGGTGGGTGGGTGTTTGGGTGAGAGAGAGAGAGAGAGAGGGGGGGGGGGGGATTTTTTTTAGGGCTCTCTGCAATTTTTGTGCCAGTTTTGCCATTTTCAGGAGTTGTATTTTAACAAACTCCTCCTAGAGATTTCATCAGATCAACACCAAATTTGGTCGGTCTAATCTAAAGCCCTTTGTGATGTTAAGTTGTGAAGATCTTCAGTTTTCGTTGAAGAGCGTGTCCGTGGCGGCCTGAGAAATCTCAGTGTTTTTGCCATGAAACAGGAAATTGATATAACTTTTGCATACAATGTCTGTTCTGCCCCAAACTTCACGTTTGATAAGACTCCTGACCTGAAGAGACCTACATGCCCATATTCAGTTATAGTCATAGCGACACCTGCTGGCAACAGGAAGTGACATGTTTTATGCTGTAACAAACTCCTCCAAGAGATTTAATGACATCAACATTACATTTGGTCAGTCTAATCTAAAGGCCTTTGTGATTTTAAATTGAGAGGTTCTTGAATTATTTAAAGGGCGTGTCCGTGGTGGCCAGACAAAATGTTATGTTTTGCCATGGAAAAAGAAGTTGTTGTAACTCAGCCATATAATATCCGATCTGCTACAAACTTCACGTGTTTGATACGACTCCTGGCCTGTACACAACTCAAGGCCAATATCCAGTTATTTTCATAGTGCATCCTGCTGGCAACAAGAAATGACTTGTTTTACATTAACTTAAACAATGTCCGATCTGCCCCAAACTTCACGTGATTGGTAAGAGTCCTGGCCTGAAGACAACTACATGAAACTATGCAGTTATAGTTATAGCACCACCTGCTGGCAACAGGAAATGTCATGTTTTAAAAAAACATGCAATGTCCAAGCTGCTCTAAATTTCTTGTTTGATACGAGTCCTGGCCTGAAGACATCTAAAGACCAATATTCAGTTATAGTTATAGTGCCACCTGCTCGAACAAGATATATCATGCTTTACACTCACTCAAACATGTGATGTCCAATCTGGACCAAACTTCATGTCTAATAAAAGTCCTGCCATGAAAACATCTACATGTCAATATTCAGTTATAATCACAGCACCACCTACTGGGAACATATGTCATGGTATGTTTGAGTGAGTGTAAAACATGTTCAATCTGCACCAACCTTCACATTTGAGAAAACTCCTGGCCTGAAGACATCTACATGCCAACATTCAGTTATAGTCATAGCACCACCAGCTGGCAGCAAGAACTTTGGCACGTATAAATTACTTTGACATATTCCTCCTATATTTACTATTTTAAAAGCACATTGCCCACTGTTCGCTGTTTTCCTAAAGCCACCAAGTGGCGGTGAGCCCAGGTGCAAAGGGCCCTGTGTCTACTGGCATTTGCATTCTTATGTTTCCTGGCATTTGCATAATGGGTGTGATACACTATAAATTCAGTCTAAAATACTGACATACGTTTTTTTTTTTTTCAGCATCACCACAAGCACTCTGTTTGGGTGAAACCTAAAGAACACAATTTATAAGAGACATCAAAAAGCAAGGACATTATCAAGGACATATTCTTGGAACTTTTTATTGTTTTCGTTCTCACATTCAGGGAAATGACCAGTTCAGGTTTCTCATCTCCAGATCAAAGTGATGATGAAGATAGTGATAGTTCTCAGAAAGGTTCTCTTGAAAGGTTAGTATACAGTATATGACATAATATAAGTTGTTAAATTTTTTTGAAGTAAATATTTATGCTTTTAGAAGCTTGACTTATTTCTTGCTATAAATTTATATATATTTATATAAATATATATATATGACCAGGCAACTGGCATATAAGCATATAATAGTATAATGGTAATAGTAGTAAGTACAATAGAAGTGGAGCTGTGGTGGAGCCAGAGCGACAGAGGACCAAGGTGGAGCTGGTGGACTGACGAGCCACATTGGAGAGGGAGTTAGGAACCATGTTGGAGCCGCTGGGTCGACGGGCCAAGGCAGAGTACGGGTCTCGGAGGTTGGAGGCGGAGACTGGGGATCCTTCGAGCACGGTGGAGCTGGAGACTAACAGACCCAAGTGAATCTGCTCCACAGATGTAAAGCTGAGGACGAGCAGAGGTTCAGTTCAACACTGACCTCCATGGTTGTGACGGGACAAACCGACAGCTCCAAGCAGACAAATAGTTCAAAACAGACCTCCATGGTCATTTCAGGACAGACAGGGAGTTCATAAATGGCCTCCTTGGCCATAACAGGACAGGTAGAGAGTTCAAACAATGAAGGAAGAAGTACCTCAGAATAAAAGTCTACTAATTCTCCCAAGTCCTGTCTCAGATCACCCTCAGCGGTGGTACAGTGGGCGGACTTTCCTCTGTGCCCTTACACTCCACAGTCTCATCCACCGTAGCGTGCATTGTTGCCGGCTCTCGCACGCGTTCAGACGTCAAATTAGGCTCTTTCTCCGGGGCGATCCTCAGCTTTGTCGCTCCTCTTGGCGGTGGCTTGGCGGGTGCTGGCTCTCCGTCTGCAGTGGGCTCAGGCTGATGCTCCATGCAGCAGGGGGATGCTTGGCTGGGCACTGGGTCGGGAGTGGGGCTGGTGTCATCACCCGCAATGTCCACTGTGAGCAGCGATCTACAGGACACCAGCACCTACTCCACAAATGTGGCAAATTCCCCCTGCTAAGCACAGAGCATGGTGATGGCGGCAAAATGATCCATAACAAAAAACAAAAGAAACTATGACCAAAACCACAAAAAATAAACGAGGTAAATAATGCCAGTAATATGCTTTTACTTTTTAAGGTCGGCTAGTCTGTCACGCTTACGTGCTGGAATGAAGACAGAGAGTGCACGGCGAAGAAGGTAATCTTAATTCTTTCAATAAATTCACAAGAAATTAAGGAAACGTCCACACACATAGGGTAACCAAATACAACAGCCTACAAATGCCAGAACAGAGAGGGGAACTTAAGTAGGGTGACTAACGAGGGACAAACAGGTGAACTGAATAAGGCAATCAAGAGGAGAAGGAACTAGATCAATGAACAAACTAAGGCGGTCCACACGATCGCGGGTATTTTCAAAACCGCAGCTTTTTCTAAGTGGTTTGGCCATTCGTCCACACGCAAACACAGCACCAGGTCACTGAAACCGAACATTTTGTAAAACTTCTGCCAGGGTGAAGATTTTCAAAAACTCCAGTTGCAGTGTTATCGTGTAAACAACAAAACTGGAGATTTTGGCTTGTAAAGTCGGAGCATGCGCTGTTATCTCCGCCTACTGGATTATTTTTCAGGCTTCTGATTGGCCAACATGGCTTTAGGGTTGAGATTATATCGCCACCTGTTGGTTTGTCATGCTCTTGACCAGTGTTGGGGGTAACTCATTACAAGTAATGCGAGTTACGTAATCAGATTACTTTTTTCAAGTAACTAGTAAAGTAACGCATTACTTTTTTAATTTACAAGAAAATATCTGAGTTACTTTTTCAAAAAAGTAATGCCAGTTACTTTGTTTTCCCATTTATTGACTGACAAGTCTCCTGTCCCCATATTGGGAGAAATCGGGTGTTACGTATCGGGTCCATGAACTTCTGTCTGCTAGCCATCAGAGGTCACCCTTTCCACTTCATTGACTCTCGCACTACACTGTTGCATATCACCCCCAGACTACATATCCCATCATTCATTACACTGATTGCACACAGCACTGATTGCACACAGCTGTATCATATCACTCACTCACTATTTAACACTCTATCTCACACCCTTCAACTGCCGAGTATTGTATGCCTAGCCTAGCCTCTCGGTTTCTGATCTTTGCCTGTTTTCCTGGATTCATCCCTTTAGCCTCGCCCTTTTGATTCTGTTCGCCGTTCGTTGACCTTCGCTAGCCCTAGGATTATTCTTGTGTCTTGTCCACCATATACCTGTTTGCCATTGTTCGACCCTGCCTGTGCTTCTGACCTCTCTGCTTTAAATAAAGCTTGCACATGGATCCGCACATCTCACGTCTCGTCAGCCCCGTAACATCGGGAGTTGTGTGCGCTGTGTGAACATGTTACTGTAGTTCTAGACTAAATGTGAATGTGCATTAATTCATCCCACTCACAAAAAACAGATTTAGTATTCATCAAAATGAATTAAAACAGTGAAATGCAAACTCAGAATATGACGCAAACCTGCAATAATTAAATATGTTAAATAACACATGTATCTAATCCCATTTTATTAACCGATGTCTTTGCT